ACTCTTTTCTCATGATTAGATCCCTTCTCTTAAACATTTTTGGTAATCATACTCCTAAAAACATACCAAGTTCGAGATCCACCCAAGAAAGCATGCTAGGGCCGAAAATAGCATCGAACTCTTCCATTTCTTTCTTCAAATCGAAAACAACAAGAAAAGGTGAGTTCATACCCCTCTATTTTCGGTTTTCACATGTTTTATGGGGGAGAATACAAGTAAAATGTGTAGATCTATGTGTATTTGTATGTTATGTGTGATTTCATGTGTTTATGTGGTAAATATGTGCCAAAAATGAAAATATTTCGAGATCTATAGTTCAAGAAGGAAAAATATGTGATCTAGGATGTATTACACTTAACAAGTTAATAAAAACTACCATATAAGGTTTATAATAAACATGTTACAACATAAAACTCATTATTGGACTTTTTTTTGTCGAATAGACAAAAGTTGGGGAAAAAGTTGTCATTTACGGTTTTTACAAGGCTCAAAATGTCAAAATAGTTAAAATAGAAGTTTTTATGAACATTATGCTTTTCAAAGGACTAAAAATGTAAGTTGTAGCCTATTGGGCTAAAATTTTGGGCTTTTCGACCCATAGGCCCAAATTTGCGAAAAATATGGTTTTAAGGGGGCTGAAATGGAAAGTTTTATCAAAACAGGGGCTATAAATGTAAATAAACCTATTTCAGGGGTTAAAATGACCTTATTTGCCAAAAAGGATTAAAGATGCAAAGATTTTTGGATTTTGGGTAAAAAGTGTAAAAATTGCGAAAAATGTGGATTAAAATGCAAACCTTTTAACTAAGGGGCTGAAACTGTTCAAAAATAAAACTTTGGGCTTAAAACATTATTTAATTAAGTGTTTAGGTCAAAAATGTCAAGAAAAAGAGTTCAAGGACCTAATATGTCATTTTTCATAAAAAGGGCTAAAAATTGCCAACTTTACCAAAATAAGGGTTGAATAGCTCAAACTAATATTTTTGGTCAGTTATGTTAATAATAAAATAATTGGGTCAAAATATACAAAACTTTATAACTTATGGGTTTTAAATAGAAAAATAACTATTTCTTTTATAAATCTATGAATCGTTATAAAACAAAATTCGTGATTATTACGACATATCGATTAAACAACTTCGCAACACTAATACTATACAAACAAGTAAACATTCTAATTGTTGGGCTTGAGAGATTCTAATCATGCTTATTGGGCCTTCGTGACCCATTAACTTGACTTTTGGGCCCAACATAAATAATACATGTTATTGGGCCTCCTATGACCCAATTACATGCTTAAGGGACCCTCAATGGTTTTTACATGCTATTGGGCCTCAGTGGCCCATTAGCATTACTAGTAAGGTCCAAATAAATCATATGCGAAATGGGCCAACGCGCCTTTCGTATACTCGACAGCCTTAAATAACATACGAAACTAGTAGGGCCTAGTAAGGCTTACCTTCTCTTCACATAAACTAAAATCAGGTCATTAATCAAGGTTAATCAAATTCATGTGGATTAAGTGAGTAATAACGGGTGACACCAATAAGTGTCGATCGTAGTCTGTAGTTGTAATCAAAGTCTCTTGGAGGGAGAGCGAGAGTTTGTGTATAAATCTATACGGGGGTGACTCCCCCACACCTAAGCTGTTCGCTACAGTTAGACTCGGCCAGTCTAGGGTGACAAAATCTTAAGATCAATTTCGGTGTTCATTAGAATGCCAAGACAGACGAACTAGTCATTATCATGCATGGTTATAACCACTCACGTAGAAATTCGATATCATTTAAGTAATCACGGGGAAATCATATTCATTCGATGTGACGATACAATAATGCAAAACAATCATAACTTTTTATCGGAAAACATCGGGTTTTCCGGGGAAACCAATCTTACTCATTTGTACTTTCAAAAACTATAATGCAAAACTTCTCATTTATTCACGTTTTGAAATCATTCACGCATATACTTACAGGATCATCACAACATTTTCAAGAAAAGTCTTAATACATAAAATATCGGATTTTCTGGGTTTTACGAACGCCATAAACCATTTTACATCAAACACACTTATGAACTCACCAACATTATATATGTTGACCGTTTCCAAAATAACTTGTATTCTCAGGTAATCGTTAGAACGAGGAAGCATCCAGTGTGTTGAAAGTTTCTTTTGTAGTAGCTAATCACCAAACACTTTATATTTTGGGATCATGTAATGTAAACCATGTACTTGATGTAAACAATGCCAGTTGTACTATGTAATATTTGGTGATGAATGTGTTATATTTCATGTATATTCATTGTGATGATATTTCAATTTAAGTCACGCGAGCCCTCGGACGTTTCCGCCGTCTGGTTCGGGGGTGTGACACCATAGCTGCATTTCATGATTATGAAATATGGCAAATGGATGTCAAAACCGCTTTCCTTAATGGAAAGTTGGCTGAGGATGTTTACATGAGTCAGACAGAGGGTTTTGTCAATGCAAAGTATCCTAATAGAGTGTGTAAGCTTGAGAAATCCATTTATGGATTGAAACAAGCATCTCGCAGATGGAATCTTTGTTTCGCTAAGAAAGTCAAAGAGTTTGGTTTTTCGAGAAGCGAGGATGAGTCATGTGTGTATGTCAAGGCTAGTGGGAGTACAATTAGCTTTCTGGTGTTGTATGTAGATGACATACTTCTCATAGGAAATGACATCCCAACCTTGCAGGAGGTTAAGTCCTGGCTTGGTAAGTGTTTCGCTATGAAGGACCTCAGAGAAGCTGCCAATATTCTGGGGATAAGGATATTGAGAGACAGGAGTAAAAGACTATTTGGACTTAGTCAAAGTACCTACTTGGATAAGGTGTTGAAAAGGTTCAACATGATGGATTCCAAGAAAGGTGACTTACCCATCCAAGGCAATACCAAACTGAGTAAAACCTCAGAGTCCGAGTAAAGAGGCTGAGATAGATGAGATGAGTCGAGTACCATATGCTTCCGCAGTTGGTTCGATCATGTATGCTATGACTTGTACTCGCCCTGATGTGGCCTTTGCTTTGAGCATGGTCAACAGATTTCAAGGGAATCCTGGTAAGGCTCACTGGACTACAGTAAAGAACATTCTCAAGTACCTGCGGAGGACTAAGGACTGGGTCCTTACCCTCGGTGGGAGTGATGACTTGAAAGTAATGGGGTATAGCGACGCCAGCTTTCAGACCGACATAGATAATTTCGTTCTCAGTCGGGCTGGGTATTTACCCTGAATGGAGGAGCAATAACTTGGAAAAGTTCCAAGCAGGAGACAGTAACTGATTCAACGTGCGAATCAGAGTACATAGCCGCAAGCGAGGCGGCGAAGGAGGCAATATGTTGAAGAACTTCATCGGAGACCTTGGAGTTGTACCAGCTATAAAGGAGCCTATGGAGATTTTCCGTGACAGTGAGAGTGCAGTTGCCTTAGCCAAGGAACCAAGGGATCATGGCAGATCCAGACACATCGACATAAAATATCACTTCATAAGACATCGAATAGAAGAAGGACTTCTCGTAGCAAAGAGGGTATCGTCAGAGGAGAACCCAACAGATCCCCTCACGAAGGGACTGAGTAGGGTTAAGCACTTACAATATGCAAGACTCATCGGGCTGAAGGACGATATTAGTTTTAATAATTAGATAGTTGTTTAGAAACTTGTAATAGTTGAAATGTATTTGACATTTGATAATTAAATAAAAGGTGTTTTTTATATATAAGTAATGTTACTATCTTGTGTCAATCATTTACTATTGTTTCATTTTGCATGTTTTGACTTCCAGAATAATTATATTATTCAAACTGTCCACAGTCGATCATACTTTGGAAGTAGGTATTGAGGAAAAGATGATGTGACAATTTATTGAATTCTATGGAGTTCAATGCATTGTGGATGTGCTAACCAAGTCTTGGTTCCAATCCATGATCAGGGGCGAATTTACATAGGTGCACAGGGTAGCCTATGTATCCTCTCAAATTTCATTTAGAAGCATAAAATTTTTCGTAATTTTTTCTATATTATGGTGCTATCCTGGTAAAAAATATGGGCTACCGTATATTATATATTATACAACTTTTTTTTTGGTAGTACCTCAAAACTTTGACCTCGGCTCTGTTAGTATCTGTGATCAATCTTGTTAGTTGTGTGGATCTTCCCTTGACTCGATTGAGCCTACTTAGGATGTTATTGAACTGATCTATTGGGTTAGTGTCTGTTTCGTATCAATACCCTATCCTTCTTCGAGAGGGAGCTTGTCCTCAGGTCGGTGTAGTCGTCTCGGCGTCCCAAGCAGCTTCTGATCATTGGCCAGACTCTTTTTATTTTAGCAAGACTCCGGTTACCATTGTGATTGACGACGTCAATATCATGATTTGGTCTGGTTGTTTAATTGGATAGTCCAGTGGTATTGTTGGTGGTGTTATGAAAAATATCCATTAGATTATCAAAAAAAGTAAAAAACTATCTCAAATAGTTTTTTGAAAAATTAATTTGTATATTACTTTCATGGTTTCAACAAAAGGCACATTGCAATATGGTTTAAGAAAACTCATTTATTCACGCTCAAGTTGAGCCAAACATGGCCCAAGTTATCAATACGACACCGTCCTGTTGATGTTTTATAAATTCCAGAATTAAAATTTAAAAGCATTGCTGTAGAATGATACGTTGACTAACAAAAGCCAAAACAAAAACTCCGATAAAATCGTCAATGATATCCATGTTATGTTCATGCGGTTATGCCCCCCAAAACATTGGGCTGATCTCTGTTCGTGGACCGACAAACGGCTCTATCAATTATGTCCGGTATAAGAGTATGCGACAATGAGACTGAGAATCTGAGAATCTGAGACTGAGAATCCGGTTATTATATATCGCACCCATAAAACCCTTTTAATTTTTTAGCAGTCACTAATCCAAGACTATAAATTTAATAAACTGATCACACACAAATATTTATTAATTCGAGCCGGATCAAATCATCTTAGCCATCCAGGTCGCACCCACACATGACAGAGAAAGACGCAATCGAGAACAACAATGTACGCATTTTCTTCCATCTTTTCTTTGCCTGAACACCCTGAAACTCAACCATACTCAATGCACGACAAATTCCATCTTCTCGAGAGTCTTGACATAGTAGTGACCCTTCATCATCTTCATGAAACCATACATCCATATCACATTCTTGAACATCATGGATCGAAAAACTATCATCCACAATCATCTCTTTACCATGAAAAGAATCGTTTTCATAAGGCTGCGGAAAATAACAATCACCATCAAAGGATGATGGAATGTTCGATCCTTGAGAGGTGGATTCAAGTCGTCTGGAGGCCTTATAATTAGCATTACCCTACATACAAAAACCAAACCATTTTTAACCAGATATATTAGAAGTTTAAACAATATATGATTACGTACAACAAACATTAATAAGCAAGACATATATACCACGTTGCATGTTTTGGCATGATTTACAGTTGTCTCCCACTTTTTGCCTTTGACACGATATATCTACAGTTCAAAAATCTCAAATTTCTATCAAAAGACATAATATGATTTCGAGAGGAAATTAAGAAATTAACCGTTAATTACCTCTTGGAGGGCTTGAGGATTGGAATGATACATATTGAGAAAATCGTTCACGTTATAGACGTTTGCTCTCTCCAGACGCGTATGGATGACGCCATGTTTACTGATATTCTTCAGCTGCCACACCTTGTCTGTTGGAGACAATGATCTGAAGGACTTGGGAGCATTTCGACGATCCTTGACTTTAAAAGATTGTGTTATAGCCTGTTTGACCTCATAGGGACATGATGAATCGACAACCATTGCTCCCAATCGGAATTCAACATTTCTGATAGGATTTTTATCGTGTTGGATTCGGATTTCACCAACTGTTGCAGTCCCATGTTCAAGATGAACATAAACATCACCGACAAGAAGATTTTTCTTTTTCCCCCAGTTGACCACGATGTTTTTCTCGAACTCGCCATCTTCCATGGTGGTGCCATCATAATTTCCACGAAGTAGAACTATCTTCACCTTCGAGAAGGCCATCGGCGCTGTGGTGACTTCTTCTTGTGTATCGGCATTAACCAATACGACTTTGATGGACTCATTTCCACCATTTTTTCCGGTTATCTTTTGTCTCGTGAACACCGGAGAAACGACCACATCGTCTGAAAATATCAACTTTAAGTTTATTGGTGCTGAAGTTGAACTCGCCGATGCCTCATAATCCTGCTAATTTAGGCAGAAAATCTAAAATTAACAAGAATTAATCAGACAAATGAATGTAAGTTAGATTTTATGTAATTTATAATTTTATCTAGTACAGCCGCCGCGTTGACTGAAACTGAAATATAAATTTAAATTATAAATAGTAACGAAAGGTAGGTAAGTTGCCGGAAATTTGCAACTCCGATCCGGCCTAAAAAATTCCGATTATGTTTGCACCATTAGTTTATTAATGGAGCTTTCTTGCAACTTGCATAGCTCGTTGAAAGTGCTACCAACCGTCTCCGACTAGCTGAGAAACTCCGGCCAGAGCAGCTAACGGCGTTCTGGCGATGAGGGTTACAGCGCCGACATGTAAAGTAAACGTTAACGGAGGAAAGTGAAGAAAATAATTAACCCACAAATTCAAGGTTCTGGTAATAATGGTCCATCGTTTAGGCAGGTATAGCTCTGTGTTAGAATGCGATCGACCAACGCACCTGAAAAAAGCAAGTTATATAAAAAGTGACAAGTAAGAAGACAAAGAGATCAAAGGGTTTTGATAAAAACTTATGGGCTGTAGCTTGTAGGGTTTGAAGAACTTGAAATTAATGATACTGATATAGATTAAAGCTAGTATTTTCAGTTTCTTTTTGTATACTAGCTAGCTAGTGGGTTGATTTTATGATTGAAGATCTTGATCGACGAAGAAGATATGATGAAATCAAATGGCTTTGAGCTAATTTTTCAAACGCACACTTTTGTGTTAATTTTTAGGGTTTGAAGATTTTAATGAGCTAGGGAAGCATGGAATTTAATCCTGTAAAAACTTGCACACTCTCCAGCGTAAAGCTACTACGCAATTTCCTTGAGAAAACCTCAGTACGCAACCCACAATTCCACACCACCAAGACGCGTTCATGATAAAAATTTATTTTTTGAGTTATTTATTTTGTTGTTGCTCCACGCCAAAAATGTTCGTAAAAACTTTCCTTTTGCGATGGTTTTAGAGGATCGTAAAGACGTTTTCTGGAAAAAGTTTGAATTTTTAGTTATATATAAATGTTTGTTAATTAATAGATATTGTAAAATATTTACATTAATTAAGCAGGAGTCAGTTTCTGTTAATTAATGCTATCTTTTGTAAATAATTATTATTAGTGTATATTACATATTGTATTATTAGCCGAATTAGATTAGCCCACTTTGTATAAGCCCGTATTGTATCTTTGTATCCTATATATATATATATATATATATATATATATATATATATATATATATATATATATATATATATATATATATATATATATATATATATATATATACTAGGTGTAAGACTCATGTATTATATGAGTTCATTTAAAAGAAAAATAAATATGAAAATTCTAAACATTTGAAAAATTTTGAATTTAAAAGAAAAATTATAAAAATATTGAATTATTAAAATTAAAATGTTTTTTTATCTGTTAAATTTAAACAAATAATTTAGATAAATAAACAAATGAAACTAATGAAGTTTTAATTTAGAAATGTTGAAATTAGAAAGAAAGTCAATTATTGAAATTGATATGCATTTGTTATTACATTTATTGCTATTATTACATTTAAATATTATGTGAAATTTAATAAAATAGAAAAAAAAACCACAAAATGCCTTGTGGAAAAAATTTAATTGAAAATAATCATAAAATGACAGGTGGCTAAATCAATGAGAGTGTGACATGTGGCAAAAAGATTTTCATTTATTAGAGAGGATATTATGGAATGAAGGTAAAATGATTACGGGAAAATATTGAAACCCTAATATGGTATCAGAGCTGTAAAGGGCTCCAACCAAAATTCTTCCCACTATCATCGACACCCACTGTGTCGATTGTCTGAAACCTCCCTTCACTCTTTGTTGCGCCTTCTATGTCTTCTTCTTCATCATCTGTGTTCTATCAAATCATTATTATCTTGTTCTCTCATCTTCTTGGATCATGTCTGGTGAATCATCGAACCCTACTGGTGGTAACTCAAAGCCATATGCCATCACCAACATCAAATCCTTCGTTTCTCTCATCCTTGACTTGAATCAACTTAACTATGATTCCTGGAGATAACTATTTCTAACCCACTGTACCAGTTTTGGTGTTCTTGGACATCTTGATGGCACTTCAAAACCGCAGAATGATAAAGACACGGAATGGTTCAATCTTGACTCCCTTGTCAAGATGTGGATCTATGGAACACTAACTCAGTCACTACTTAACATGGTTACAAAACCTGGATCCACAACAAACTCTTTGTAGCTTGACATTGAAGCCTTGTTTCGGGACAACAAGGAAGCTCGCACCATGGAACTGGAGAACGAGCTGAGGCAAATGACCATGGGAGATCGATTAATCAATGACTTCTATGAAAGGATGAAATGTGACTGCTGATTTACTTGGCAATATTGGTAATGCAGTCAACGAATGCACGCTTCTTACGTATTTTCTCAATGGGTTAAACCCAAAATATGATCATATTGCATCTGTGATTCGTCACAAAGAACCTCTCCCAATCAAGCTTCAAGCCCGGTTTATCCTCACTCTTGAGGAGAGTCACTTTGCTCGACCCCGTCATGCCTCTGCACAACATTCTGACCATGCTTCAGCTCCCACTGTTCTATATTCGGGTAACCATCGTTATCTCAAAATCGTAGAAATAACCACAACAACAACTGCAGCAGCAACCATCGTAGTGGCTCTTCTCATCGTCCCTCCACCACCGAGAACCGCCCACAACAGGCCTCCCAGTCTCAGTCTCCTCAACAGTCTCCTTTTCCGATGCAGTGGCATGTGTTTCTTCCTCCTTGGGCTGCATACGGCTGGTCTACAGCCCCTTTGTCTATTCCTCGCCCCTACATCGGCCAGCAACAGCAGCGCCACCGACCACCTTCACCTACCGGACAACAAGGGTTGCTCGACAGTAGTCCCGCCACTACAGATCACCCACATCAGCCCCCTGCTGCATTTCACACCATTAATCCGACCACCGAGCTTACCCCTCCATGGCAGTGGTTTCCCCCGACTCAAGCTGATTAAGCCACGGATCTTGCTGCTGCAATGAACACCATGTCTGTCAATCACAACCACGATTTATCATGGTAGATGGACACCGGGGCTACATCCCACTTGGCCTCGGACTCAGGTAGACTCCATTCTCTTAGTAATAATAGCAAAACAAATTTTGTTCTTGTTGGAAATGGTTCACCCATTCCCGTCACACACTCTGGTCATTCTCACTTACACACTTCTCACCGCCCTCTTCACCTTCACAATGTTCTGGTCACACCTAACATCATCAAAAATCTTATTTTCGTTTGAAAATTCATCACTGATAATAATGTCACCATTAAATTTGATAAATTTGGCTTTTCTGTGAAGGATTTTCGCACTCGTCAGGTACTTCTTAGGTGTGACAGCTCGGGCGATCTCTATCCTGCTTTTGAGAAGCCCAAATCCTCTACCGCTCTTCTTGCTTGCATTCCAACATTATGGCATCAACGTCTTCGCCACCCCGGCTCTCGTATCCTTCGGTTTTTACTTTCAAATAAATTTATTGCATGTAATAAAGACTCTACTTCTGTTACATGTAATTCGTGTAATCTTGGCAAACATGTTAGGTTGCCTTTTACTTCTTCTGTTTCGGTAGTTTCTAATGCTTTTGACATTATTCACTCTGATATATGGACTTCTCCCATATCAAGTATCTTTGGAATAAACTATTATGTGTTATTTTTGGATCATTATTCTCAATTTTTGTGGGTTTATCCGTTACGCATCAAATCTGAAGTCATCAATAAATTCTTATATTTTCGTGCGTATGTTAAAAATCAATTCAAAACTGACAGAAAAGCTTTCCAATGTGATCACGGGACGAATTTGACAACCGTGAATTTCACTCCCTATTTGACCATAATGGCGTCACCTTTCGTTTCTCTTGCTCGAAAACTTCTCAACAAAATGGGATGTCTAAACGTATGATCTGTACTATAAATAACATCATTCGTACTCTTCTGTTTCAACCTCACATCCCACCTCAATATTGGGTGGAGGCGTTACATATGGCCTCTCACCTTCTCAATATCACACCATCGACATCCATAAAAAATGACACTCCTTTCTCCAAACTCTTTCACAAAACACCCACATACTCTCACCTTCGTGTGTTCGGTTGCCTATGCTATCCATACATTACTCCACCTCACAAACTAGCCCCTCGTTCCACTCCTTGTGTATTTCTCGGTTACCCCACTCATCATCGGGGTTATCAATGTCTCGATCTTTCTACTCGTAAGATCATCATCTCTCGTCATGTCACCTTTGACGAGACCTCTTTTCCTTTCCTCTCGGTCACCCCGAATCAACCACCGTCCTATCATTTCCTTGATGATCCCTCTCCTGTCGTCATCTATCAGATCATCAAGTCTACACCTCTCACCACCGTCCTTGCCTCTTCTGACGGCCCCTCTACTGGATCCTCTCCTTCATCTTCTCATAGTCCTTCCAACAATGAGGCACCTCCAACTCCGTCCGAACCTTCACCATCCGCTCCAACACCTCCCCCTCCCCCCACTCATCCTATGGTCACACGTGAAAAACGTGGAATTACAAAACCTGTGTCTCGTCTCAACCTCCACACAACTACTGAGTCTCACATGCCTAAGTCTCACCTTCATGCTCTCCGTGACCCTAACTGAACCATTTCCATGCAAGACGAATTTAATGCTCTTATCACTAACGGAACTTGGACTCTTGTCCCGAGGCCCTAATGGGCCAATATTGTGTGTTCTGTGTGGTTAATTAAAAAGAAATACAATGCGGATGGTTCTTTAGACAGGTACAAAGCTCGGTTGGTTGCTAATGGAAAAAGTCAGAGACCCAGTATCGACTGTGACGAGACATTTAGCCCTGTTGTAAAACCAGCCACCATTCGTACCGTCTTGAGCATTGCCACCTCTAGACAGTGGCATGTTCATCAGTTGGATGTCAAAAATGCTTTCTTACATGGTCAGCTGAACGAGACTGTTTACATGCATCAGCCTCCAGGATTTCGTCACCCGGAACATCCTGATTATGTGTGCCATCTGCAGAAGTCCCTATATGGTCTGAAACAAGCCCCTCGAGCATGGTTCCACAAGTTTACAGAATTTATCACTTGGATAGGTTTCATTCACAACAAAATGTTGAAACCCTAATAATTATAAGAACCAGCTGATTAAAAAATTGAAATGAGATAAGGGCACGTATACCAATATGCCTAATAGTATTAAAAAGAAAAACTTAAAAAAATAAATAAATAAAGACCGATACTGGCTAGATACAACTTGTTTTGTTTCTTTATCTTTGATAGGTGATGGGTTATGTTTATTTATAATTTCGCTTTATATATTTAAGTATAATCCTTTATTCATGATTCGATTTTCTCTTGTTCTAATAACAATGAAAATGCATGTTAGTTATTTTGTTATTAAAACAAGAGAAAATTTAAAGATGCATCTTCATCTATTATTTATGAGACCAAAGGGCCTTTGGTTTTAATGGATTCATTGAAATGAGAGGTCATGAGTTTTTTAGGAGATATAAATAGTATTTAGGAGCTAGATTAGCTAGTATTTTATAACTTTATATTAAGAGCTTTTGAGACTTCAATTCTTAAACGTTAGAGAATAGAGTATCATGAAAAATGCATTAATCGTGAAGGTTCTAAAAAGCTCGCATGGAGCGCCATGGCTCCAAGGCTTGTATGTGTCGCCAAGCTTTACCAAAACGCCGCATTGACTCATATACGTGTATAAACATAAATAATAGTTGAAAATACATATAAAAATATGAATTATATACAAAATTGCCGCCTTAAGTCACGCCTTACAAACGACGTGACTCGCCA